GTGTGTGTGTGTGTGTGTGTGTGTGTGAGAGAGAGAGAGAGAGAGACAGAGACAGAGACAGAGACAGAGACAGAGATAGATAGATAGATAGATAGATAGATAGATAGATAGATAGACAGACAGACAGACAGACAGAGACAGGAAGTGAGAGACAGAGAGGGAGAGAGGGAGAATTCTGCCTCTTCTCATTAGGGCACCAATCCTATCAAATGGGGCCCCACTCTCATGATCTCATTAATGCCCTGACTCCAGGTGTGGTCACTCTGAGGACTGGGGCTTAATGTACAGCTATGGGGGACTCGCTCTGGTCACAAGCCTTTAAAATTCATGGAAGGACCCAGTTTGCAAGGGGACAGCTGAAATGTCAGTACTGGTCAGACTGGATTCATTCCAGATGCACACTCTGTGTATGACAAGCAGTGTGTGTGTGAGTGTGTGTGTGTGTGTGTGTGTGTGTGTGTGTGCGTGTGTGTGGGTGTGTGTGTGTGTGTGTGTGCGTGTGTGTGGGTGTGTGTGTGTGTGTGTGTGCGTGTGTGTGGGTGTGTGTGTGTGTGTGTGTGTGTGTGTGTGTGTGTATGCATGTGTGTTCCTGTGTCCCCCACATTTATCTTTTCCCCAAATTCTAGTGGTAACAGCAAAAGTCCCTGCCTCAAACACGATAGTAGGTACCCACATGCAATGTTATTCCTCTGACCTCCACATGTGTGCCATGACATGTGACTACACTCACACACATGCATCATATATGCACACATGATTTTTTTATGATACAGAAGAATCCCCCTCTTATCGGCCTGTTCTCTGCCTTTGGTTGTACCTTCACTTCACCCCAGGCCCAGGTGGTTACAGAGCTGCTCCTGTCTCTGGAGTTTGGCTTTTTCTAGAATTTCTATAGAACCAGGCAACCTGTGTCTTGGGGGCCTGGCTTGTTTCTCTTAGCATAATGTGTTTCAGATTTAGCCCTGTGTGGGCATGGCTCTATAAGCTCCCCAAAATCCTGTATGGCCAAGTAGTATTCTTTCATGGCACCAGATCATCTGGGATTGTCCTAATGTGACCTGCTGCCTTCCTGAAGTTGGAGTGTTTGTTGCTCTCTGCATCCTATTTCCTCTCTGAAAGAATCACGCACCATCTGTGCTGCTCGCCAGAGGTGACACATGGCACAGGGCTCCTACTCTAAAAGCTCTGGTCCCTCAGTGTCACCAGACAGCCCGTGCCCCGAGCCCGGCAGAACTCCACTTGTTCTTCACAGCGGTGCTTAGCGTCTTCACAGATGGACAGTTAGCCCTCTTTCTATCCAGTCCTGAACCTTCACGCTTCATTACCACCATCCCTGCCTCTGCCGAGGAGAAGGTGGGTGCTTTCAAGTGAGAAATAGCTGAGTTTGAAAGAGCAGGACAGATACTGGGCACACAACACTCCCCAAGTGGCGGTGTCTGCAAAAGGGTAGATGTGTCCTGGCCACCTCTCCTCCCCCTGACTTCACAGAGGTCACACCCCTGTGTCTGCCTAGAAGGGATTCATTGCTGGCAAAGCCATTCAGCATCCCTAGCGCCATCTTCTTCCTCCAGGAAGGAAGTGAGACTCACACCAGCCCCACCCTGGTCCAGCATTTTCACTCTGGTTCCCACAGAGGTAGCTTCCTGCCATACACCAGGCCCAGCAATTTCCAGGCCTTCATGATGGTCACTAGGTTTGTTCCCAAATCAGCCAGGTGTGCAGGAATCTTTGCTGAGGGTGGGTCAGCCTCCGCAGTACCCGCCCTTGACTGGTGAGTACCGGTATAGAGTATTGTGTCTGTGGGGCTCAGAGTGAAGCCAGGCAAGATGAGGATGGCTCATTTCTCCCCAGCGCAAAGCAGGTCTGGAAAGCGATGCCTGAGACCTACCTCAGGCAGAACACACAGGGGTCCTTCTTCCGATGCTATGTGGAGTGACATGTGATGGGAGCAAGAGTCACTTTGACTTGTCAGCACTGCACCAGCACAGCCACCTTGCCACTCGGAGTCTGCTCTTGTCTTCCTTCCAAGGGTGAGAAGATGCTCAGGCCCAGCAGGTCCTCGAGGGGATAGTGTTCTAAGTCACTGTCAAATATAAACATAAAGGGAATGTCACTGCCACCTCGGGAGCCAAAGGATCATTCGGGGACGTCCTGGGACTCCAGCAGCCAGCTAGCAGACATCTTTAACATTTACAAAGGTGTCTGTAGTCACACCCAGGGTTTAGAGAGCACTGTAGGCCTTGACCTTACTTAGCACTTCCTTTAGTTGTTCCAAGTGTTTGCCAGTTGTATGGCTAGTTTTACTGCCAGCTTGACACATCCTACCATCACCTGGGAAAAGACTCCTAATGAGGGATCATGTGATCTTGTCTGTGGGAGACTGGCTTGTTTGCTTTAATTGATGTAGGGAGGTCCAGTCTGAAAGAGAGTAGTACCTTGCCCTGGTTGGGCCCTGGACTGTATAGGGGTGGAGAAAGCTAGCTGAGGGGAGCATGTGTGCACGCATTCTCCCTGGTCTTGACTGATGTGTTGTGACCAGCTGCTTCATGATCCTGCCTTGACGTCCCCGAAATGGATTACAACCTGGAACTGTGAATGGAAATAAACTGTTCCTCCTCTAAGATGATTTTTGTCAGGGGTATTTGGTCACGGAAACAGGAAGTAAACAGGGTGGCCATGATGCTGCTCCTCTTCAGCAGTCACATAGGCAGAGCGGTGTGCTCACCCTCCAAGTCTGTGCTGCAAGCATGATTGTCTCGGTGTTGTCTGCTTACCCAGCTGTTCCAAGAACACATGTTGCTTGATCCTGGAAGCTGGATTACAGATGAACTTTAGGGACATAAACCCTGTCCCCTGTAGGAAAAAAAAAAATGATTGCGGAGACTCTGGTGGCCTTGAGGGCCAGAGTCAGAACCAACCCAAAGGAAATAATCCAGTGGTAGACACTTTTCAGAAAGTCCAGGACTGGGCAGCTGGGCCTTGGGGGTTTGTTTCCTACCCAGAGAAGACCATGAGGAGTCCTTACAGACACCCAAAATGGCTTCTACACTCTATGGTGTGCACACATGTGCACAAGAATTGGATCACGTTCCCCCTTGGCACACTGACCTTGGTAGGTGTTCCCCAGACTTGCTTTGTTCCCCTTGACTCACACTTCCAAATGTGCTTGGTGACATGCCTACACCTCATTTGTTTGTGTGTGTGGCACCAAGAATGATGGATGCCTTCTCCTTGCCCTGTTTAGACAGGCAGAACCTTTTATAGCAAGGGAGACTGAAGACTTAGGGATTGGACCAGCAGGGAACACAGTCACTTTGGAAAGCAACACTCAGTAAGCTACTGGGGTAGTTGGAGAGGCTCCGGAGTCAGGGTGTGGCTCTAGAGAGCCAAGGGTCCTAAAGACCAAGAAGCCCCCAATAGCCACCACCTGATGGCTGCAGGCTGGCAGAGAAAAAGGGGTGTGGGGCGTATTCTTTGCTTTATCAAGCTCTCTCTGCCAGTGCTGGGTGACGGCTTGGATTTCAATCAGGTGAGTGGTCTATGACCTTAAAGTGCTAGGTTGAAGGGAAGGAAAGAGAAGAGAGGAGGGAGAGAGGGAAAAAGAGAAAGGGAGACAGGTACTGAAAACCTACTATGTGCAGGGGCTCCCTCCCACCTCTCTAGATGAAGCTCTAGTGGCAGCCCAGAAATGCACAGCCAGGTCTTGCTGGGTCCCTCAAGTCACTTTCAGCACTAAACTGCACTTTCTGCACTTACAGCTGGGAAATGGAAGCTTGAGGAAGGTCCTTTGCCCCAAGAAGGGACCAAGATTTCAGACGAATGCCTGTCTTGGGGCCCCAGTCATCCCCCCGCCCCCGCTATCAGCCCCTGCTGTTGCAGGACTTGTTCAGTTTCCTTGATTTCCCTCAGCTGGTTCAAGAGGCTCCTACTGACAGCTGCAGAGAACACACCCAAGTGTAGACTGGCACTCTGGGAGCCGAGACAGGAGAGTGGAGAGTTCAAGGAGGTGGGACACCTCTTCCTATTTTTATTCCTCTTCATTCCTTGCTGTGGCTTCAGCTCCTTTGATGTCACCCTGGGGTCACCTTCTGTACCTCCCCTGGCTTCCTACCCTGGAGCCTTGGCCCCCAAGTGACAGTTGCCCTGGTGCAGTTGAAGCAGTGGGCTCTAAGCTCAGGGCTGCCTGTCCCCACCCTCTTCTCTTTGAGCCTTGCAGGGCATAAGTTAGATAACCATGACACCTGTTTTAAATTAGCCTTCAGAAGCCTCCGACAGCTGAGAAATTATTTAACAGGGAAAGAATTGAGTACATGAATAAATATTAATATTAAATCACAGCGTCTCTTGATTCGAGGGGAAGGGAGGGGGGACTTGGCAAGAAACAGAGGCAGCTTTGGTGGGAAGACACTGTTGAGCATGGAGTGAGGACAGCCCATCGGTCACCTGGCCCTGTCAGAGCCACACGGGGACTCCATCTGTCAAGGAGGCCGGCAGGTGGCAGAGGTGACTTTTAAGAGTCTTGTGATGGCTCAACAGGTGTCTAGTCTGAGCTCTAGCCTCAGGCTCAGGCTATGGTTTGGGGACAGTGCCTGTCTGGGAGTGGATTCCCACCCCAGAGCCCAGAGTGGAGCTGCTGCCTGCTGTGACCTCTCTGCCCCCCCCCCACACACACACACAGCAGTGCTGATGTCCAGTGAGTGCTTTGGTGTCAGCACAGACGTGAGCCAGGCTGAGTCCTAATTATCCGCCCACAGGTACATGGGCTAACCTGGGTAACATAATGAAAAACTTTCTGCTGGAACCTGCCAGAGGCACTGACTTTGTGGTCCATCTGAGTGTCTGATGCCACATCCAGGGAAGTGGGAGAGGCTGCCCCCGAGTGGAAGGTTCCAGGACAAGCAAAGTGCCTAATGGCTGGGAGCACTTGGAAGCTGGTCCCACCTTTCATGCCTACATCACAAATCAATATTAAGCCACAGTCAGTTACTATGAATAATAAAATAACAAGCATTAGTTGTACTGTCTGCTCTAACAGCCAGGCAGAGGGATCCTTGGGGGCTCCTGGAACACCCTCAGCACTCCCAAGACTCAAGTCCTGAAGACTGATCTCCTCTAGCCAGGTAACATTCAGACACTTGTCTCTGTGACCAAAACTTTGCAAGAATGGTGTGAAGGAGGAGGGGAGAATTTAGTTTACAAATGGCTTGAGGGGGTTCAGTCTGTGGCCACATGGTTCTGTGTTTCTGGGCCCCTGCATGGCTAAGCACCAGGGTGGCAGGAGTGTGTCGGGAGAAAGCTGCTCACCTCATGGTGGATGGGCAGCAGAGAGGAAAGAGGAAAGAGGACCTGAGGACTGGTACAACCCTCAAAGGTACCCCCACCCCCATTGACACACTTTCCCCAGCAAGACTTCACTTCCCAGAGTTTCCAGGACCTCCCAAGATGGTTCCATCAGACGAGGACAAATAATTTAGCCTGCGAGCCTGTGTTGGGCATTGCACATTCAAACCATAGGGCCTGGAACCCACCCACCCCCAGTATTGGAGCACCTGGCTCCCTCATCTCCTTGGGGCCTCCCTTCCATGTGCCCACCCCAATGACACCATTCTAGGTCTTTGATCTAAATAGCCTCCTCCCTGATTCCCTGACTGCCTCTAACTCTGCTTATTTTCTTCTTGGAGCATTTATGCTGGGGTAGATTCCTGGGGTTCACTGGTCAATCAGCTTAGCCTAGCTAGAGAGATCTGGGCATGTGAGAGACCCTGCCTCACAAAACAAGTGTCTGAGGTGGGGACAGTGCCTGGGGATGACACCCAAGTTTGACCTCTGGACCACACACACACACACACACACAGAGAGAGAGAGAGAGAGAGAGAGAGAGAGAGAGAGAGAGAG